TCTCCAATTCCAGCTGTCTTAATTACTGTAGCTTTATAGTAAGTCTTGAAATCTGGAAGTGTCAGTCCTTTGACTTTGTTCTTCTTCAACACTGTGTTGGCTATTCTGGGTCTTTTGCCTCTTCATATAAACATTAGAGTCAGTTTGTTCATATCCACACATAACTTACTGGGACTTTGATTGAGATTGTGTTGAATCTATAAATCAAGTTGGGAAGAATTGACATCTTGACAATATTGAGTCTTTCTATCCATGAACATGGAATATATCTCCATTTATTTAATTCTTCTTTGTTTTCTTTCATCAGAGTTTTGTATTTTTCCTTATATAGATCTTGTACATATGTTGTTAGCTTTATACCTCAATATTTCATTTTGGGGGGCGTTAATGTAAATGATATTGTGTTTTTAATTTCATATTCCACCTGTTCATTGCTGGTATATAGGAAAGTGATGGACTTTTGTATATTAACTTTACAGCCTGTAACCTTGCTATAATCACTTATGTAACACTCCTTTTTATCCCTCATAACTTTCCCTTCTATGAAGACTGCTCTGTTTAAAATTCATATAGCCACTCCTGCTTTCTTTTGATTAGTGTTATCATGGTATGTCTTTCTCCACCCTTTACCTTCTATCTATATGTGTCTTTATATTTAAAGTGGGTTTCTTTTAGACAACATATAGTTGGGTCTTGTTTTTTGATCCACTCTGAAAATCTTTGTCTTCTAATTGGTGTATTTAGACCATGGATGTTTAAATTTATTATTGATATAGTTGGATTAATATCTACCATATTTGTTACTATTTTCTATTTATTGCCCTTGTTCATTGTTCCTATTTTTGTCTTCCATTCTATTTTTGCATTTTATGGTTTTAATTGAGCATTTTATATGATTCCATTTTCCCTCTTTTCTTAGCATATCAGTTATACTTCTTTTTTTTGTTACATTTTTTAGTGATTATCCTTGAGTTTGCAAAATACATTTACAACTAATCCAACTCCATTTTCAAATAACACTATACCACTCACAGGTAATGCATATACCTTATAATAAAAAAAAAAAAACCCTAACTTATTCTTCCTGTTACTTGTATCATTACTGTCATTCACTTCACTCATACATAAATATGCATAAGCATATATGGATGAATATATTGTTATTATTATTATTTTGAACAAACTGTTATCTTTTAGATCAATTAAGAATTAAAAAAATAAGTGTTTATTTTTCTTTCACTTATTCCTTCTCCAGTGCTCTTTCTTTATTTATATAGATCCAAGTTTCTGACCTATATAATTTTCCTTCTCTCTTAAGAACTTTTTAAAAAATTTCTTGCAAGGTAGGTCTACTGGCAACAAATTCCCTCAATTTTTGTTTGTCTGGGAAAATCTTTATTTCTCCTTCACTTTTGGATGTAATCTCACAAGGTACAGAATTCTAGATTGGTGGTTTTTTTCTCTCAACACTTTAAAAATATTTCACTCCACTCTCTTCTTGCTCATATGGTTTCTGAGGAGAAGTCTGGTGTAATGCTTTTCTTTGCTCCTTTATAAGTAAGGTGTTTTTTTCCTCTGGCTTCTTTCAAGATTTTTTCTTTATCTTTGATTTTCTGCAGTTTGAATATGATATGCCTAGGTATAGTTTTACTTTTTTTGGCATTTATCCTGCTTGGTGTTCTCTGAGCTTCCTCTATCTGTGGTTTGGGGTCTGACGTTAATTTGGGAAAATTGTCAGTCATTATTTCTTCAAATATTTCTTCTGTTCCTTTCTCTTTTTGTGTATGGTATACCTTTTGTAGGTACCCCACAGTTCTTGGATATACTGTTCCATTATTTTCGGTCTTTTTTCTCTTTGCATTTCCATTTTGGAGGTGTCTATTGACATATTCTCAAGCTCAGAGATTTTTTTCTCAGCCATGTCCAATCTACTAATAAGCCCATCAAAGGCATTCTTCATTTCTGTTATAGTGTTTTTGATCTCTAGCATTTCTTTTTTATTTTTTCTTAGAATTTCCATCTCTCTGCTTACATTGCCCCATCTGTTCTTGCATGCTGTCTACTTTATCCATTAGAGCCCTTATCATATTAATCATAGTTGTTTTAAATTCCTAGTCTGATAATTCCAATACCCCTGCCATATCTGAGTCTTGTTCTGATGCTTGCTCTATCTCTTCAAACTGTGTTTTTTGCTTTTTAGTATGCCTTATAATTTTTTCTTGATAGCTAGACATGAGGTACTGGGTAAAAGGAACTGTAGTAAATAGGCCTTTAGTGATGTGATGGTAAGGTGTTGGGGGAGGGGAAGTGTTCTATAGTCTCATGATTAGGTCTCAGTCTTTCAGTGAGACTATGCCTTTGTACTCTGAACTTCACAAGTGCTTCTCAGTACCACCATCATTTAGGGGCGACAGGATGGCTAGAGTGGACTGGAGTTAGGTATTTCCCTTCCCTCACATGAAAGTTTAGAGCAGGCTGGAGTTGGGTATTTCCTTTCTGCCAGGCCAGTTAAGCTTTGACAAAACCCCAATAGTTTAGACTCTAGTAAGATAGTTTCTCTTCAGGAAAGCCCTTGTTAAGAAGGACAGAATAGTCTGGCATATTTCAAAATGGGTCCTTTTCCCCTCCCTCTGCCAGAAGCACGAGAGGATTTTTCTCTGATATTCACTGTGAGAACCTGATCAAGCCGCTAGAGGCAAAATTCACTAAAGTGTGAGGACCTCCCTATGACTGGGTTCCCCCAGAGTTTTTAATCTCTGAGACTTGTCCACACTGAGCCTCCAGCAATTCACCAATTACAGCTCGGATTTTTCTTCCCTGGTACTGGTTCCTGCAGAGGTTTCTGCCTAGTAAGCTGTGATTTTCTGCATTCGCCTTTCTCTCTCTCCAATTTTGGGGGCCACAGTTTGCCTTGTGATCTCACTTCTCTGATGAATCTGAGAAAAGTTATTGATTTTTCAGTTTGTTTAGCTTTTTGCTTGTTGTTATAATGGAGTCAAAACTTCCAAGTTCCTTGTATGTCAGACTGGAAACCAGAAGTCCACTCCTTCTCTTTCTACCTTTTTTAATTTTCGTTCCGTCAAGAAATATCTCCTGAATCATTATGATGTTCCAAGCACTGTGCCAGATGTTGAGTATACACAGCTAAATAGAATAAGTCCTTGCTGCTGAACGAGTTCACAAACCAGAAGGAAATACAGACAAATTGCAATACTATGCATAAAGGTTATGAAAGAGGTAAGCACAAAGTGCTGTAGGAGCACAAAGTCTGGGGTTGAGGGTTGGCTTCAGAGAAGTCTTTCCAGAAAAGCTTAGACTAAAATGAATCTTGACTAATGTTAACCCAGACAAAAATGAGGTGGGAAGTGTGATAGATACCACGTGCGAGATAGATACCATTTGTACCATGTGCAAAGGAAGGACCAAGGTGGGTTTAAGACACCAAAAAAAGAATAAAGTTGTTTGGAGCACAAGGAGAGAAGGAGGGAGAGAATGAGCCTAGATGTCACTAGGTCTTCTGCTTCTTGACAATAAGGACCATGTTTGGCAGGAAGCAGATGGCTTGCTCAGACTGGTTAATCTGGGAGAGTTAAGGGACTATTTACAAAGTCCCCTTTGAACTGAAAATGATTTGGGAAAACCATAAGTGGGAAAAGTCATTACTACTCCTAGGCCTGATCACTTAAGTGAAAAGAGCAGTCACCAGAACAGAAAAGACTGGCTCTATGGAGACGGATGCTTGTCAGGAACTCTACCTTAGGTAAAGGGACATGGAAACCCCTCAATAATCCGGTAAGGAGAGAATCAGTGAATAAATACACTGATTGCCGGACCTCTGATCTTTATTTATTTATTTATTTATTTTCATTTTTTAATTTTTTTGTGAGGAAAATCAGCCCTGAGCTAACATCCATGCCAATCCTCCTTTTTTTGCTGAGGAAGACCAGCTCTGAGCTAACATCTATTGCCAATCCTCCTCCTTGTTTTTCCCCAAAGCCCCAGTAGATAGTTGTATGTCATAGTTGCACATCTTCCTAGTTGCCATATGTGGGATGCCGCCTCAGCATGGCCGGGGAAGTGGTGCGCCGGTGCACACCCGGGATCCGAACCCGGGCTGCCAGTAGCGGAGCACACATGCTTAACTGCTAAGCCACCAGGCCAGCCATGGACCTCTGATCTTCTGCTCGAGCCTGCCATTGGTCAAATCTAACCAGAAGCTGGATGGCAAGGGAACACATTGAGGTAGTCCATATTAGTCAGCCTCCTTGAACAAGGATGGAGTGTGGATCCAGAGGGACACATGGAAGATATCCAACCATCACTGCACCCTCAGTACCTAACACAACCCCCGGCAAAGAGGAGGTATTGAATGATTGAATGAGGTTGGATAGCAAGCAGAAACCCCATCTTGCTAAGTTTTAGCAACTCATGCTAACAAGTTACAATTTTACCTCATAGCAGTGGGAAGCAATCAGAGTATTTTAAGCAGAGGAGAGACACAATCAGATTTGCATTTTAGAGGCATAAATCTTGGTAACTGTGTGGAGAATAAACTGAAAGAGAGCAAGCCTAGTAGCAGAGAGACCAGGGAAAAAGCTGTTGTAGAAATCCAGGACAGAGATGACTAAGAGATGTTCTAAGAAGCGGAAACAGAAATATAAGATGGGCTTGAGAACATTAATGAGGTAGAGTTGGCAGGACACACTGTGATTGACTGGTGGGAGATAGGAAACGGGCACAGGACAAGGGTGCAGGAGGGAGAGAATGAGAATGACTCCATTTCTTAAAGACCTCTCGGGTGTGGTGTGTCTGTGAGAAACCCAGGTTCGGCAGGCAGTTTGCTGTAGGTGTCTGGAGCCCAGCAGAGACCTGGGTAGGAGAAAGGAATTGGACCAAATCTGGCACGTGAGACAGAGACACTGCACCCGTGTTATGTGTCCTGCCTCCTGTGGGTTCTGTCCCCTGGGGTGGGGGAGGGGCAGGAAAGGGTGTTAGGGCAGAGCCGGTTAGGTTCCACGGCAGTTAAGAAGAGCAGTGAGCCGGAAGTTAGGATGGAAAGAAGGGAAGAAAGTGCTATAAACTTCCACAGTGTTTACAATGCCAGCATACTGGGCTACCCCACATACAGGGTGAGGAAACTTTTTGTAGGTTGGGTATTGGTGGAGTTGGAAAAAGCAGCTTGTGTATGGCAAGGGGGAAATATCAAGGTGAGAGAGGCAAAAGTCACTCCATTTTGGTTTTTGTTACGTGGGGACAGGTGAAAAAGGAATATTTTTTAAAAATTAATATTAAAAAAATAAAAACCTTGGGAGGCTCTGGAGTCAGAGGAGAAAAAGACCCTGACGTGTAGAGGGAGGAGGAATTCCCCCCAGTGTGGGGCCCACGGCTTGTCTTTACTGTGAGTGGGGATGGAGATGCCTGAGATGAGATTCCTTTGCTGATGCCCTCTTTCCTTCCCCACCACAGCCAGTTCTTTCCTACCGCATGCACCGCTTCTTTTCTATGCCAGCCTACCAGCGACAGCTCCTGGAGAGGACCCGAAGCTACATTCGAATGTTCTGTGCTGGCCTCATGGGCTTCATTTTCGTCCTGCTACTCTGCTTGACTCCTTTCCACTGGGTGCAGTTCACGGTGCTGAAAGACAAGAAGAGACTCTTGGCGGGGCTCTGGACCTTGTGCCACAATGATCTCTGCTGGAGCCACACACCAGAGGCACCCTGTGAGTGCCTTCCAAATCCTAGAGCCCCCTCCTTTGGTAGATCTGCTCAGATTCTCCCCACAGCTTGCCACTCTCCCTTGCTCCTTCCCACAACCCCGCCCCATCTTTTCTCCCTTGATTCACAAGCATGTCAGGACTGTTCCTCCAAACAGGGTAAATTTGCCCAAGTTTGTCTTGACTAGATTCCCCCAATGACTTAAAAAACATAGCCCCTTAGTTATTGGAAGATAACGCCCCGTGAGCTTGTGCTTTTTCTTACCTTTGCAATGACCGTGAGGTTTATTTACACCTTAAAATGAAAGTTACTCCATAACATACCTCCCAAGGTTATAGTTATAATTTCAACTTTTCTCTCATTGTGGAATAAATTATTTCTTTCCTTGTTAAAGGAATTCCACATGTTAATGAGGAGATGGGAAGAGGGTCCTTACTGGTGCCTGTGAAGCCACCTACTTGGTGGCTTCGTACTCTGACTCCATTACATGTAAGACAAGCCCTGATTCCATCCTCCTCTGTCCCTCACTCCCTTCCCTAGACCCCGTCTAGCCTTCTTTAATGGGAGTTCACCTCTGCTCCAGCCAAACCTCTCCTTTTCCCCTTCCCCTGGCAGACTACCTCCAATACTCCAGGACCTTCTTCCTCATCTCTGCCCTCTCCATCCTCATTATTATTATATGGCTCAGCATCTCTCTCACCAGAGGGCCAGGAGACAAAACCTACATAGATTTGGGCATATCCATCTTCTGTTTCATCTCAGGTACAACATGATGAGGTTGGAAAATTTGTCCCTAGAGTCCTTGTATTTCTTCCCCTTCCTGTGCCATTTCCCCTTCTTTTACCAAGTCATTCCCAGCTTCACATGAATTCTACTATCATAGGACCCTTGTCTCTTCCCAAAGGGAAGAAAGCTTTTGATAAACTTTTACTCCTTACAGAGCTATTGCCTCTTAAAGAGGGGACCTTGAAGAGATTATGTTTAACCCAATGGAAACATCTCCAAAAGTTGTTATCTGACAGACTAGTGGGGAGATATTATAGGCTGGAACCCCTTCTGGCACCCAGAAAATTACTATGTAGCTAGCTAGCTACCTGTTCGGTCCATCGTATCTATAGGCTCCACCTTGACAACCTTATTCTAGTCAAAGCAAAAGCCCTTCACTCTCCCACTTAGTCAATTGCCAAATGGGTCTTCCCAGGACCACTGCCATGTAATAGGCTTCCACGGCATAATTGAGATGACTAGTGACAAGGAAGCGCAAAGAGAGGGAGGAGGGTGGGATGGGAGGGACGGTGGAAGGAGCGTTATGATGGGTAGTGATAGTTTTCATTCTGATCCCAGGCACCTGTCTATTCCTCTGCCTCATTTTGTTCCTGATGCAAGTGAAATTGTACAGTGGGAATGTCTTGGAGCCCCGTCTCCTATTAGTCTACCGCCTCAATTGGTGGGGCAGTATCTTCTACATGACAGCTGGTGAGTTAATGCTCCTGTTAAATAGTGAAGGCACAGAAAAGGCAGTTCTCCTTTCTTTCTTTTTGTTGTTTATTTGGTATATTAGAATCTCATAATTTGGAAGAGCTCTGCAAGAGTCATTTCCATGTCAGTGTACAAGCCTTAATAGCAAGTGCTAACAATTTATCTAAAACATTTTTTCTATAATAACCATGTGCAGACAGGAGCAAGATTCTTCTGTCCTTCGAGAAGGTAGTTCCTAAATTTTCCTCTCCTTTCATCATATCAAATAACCTCTCCACTTTTATGGATCTTCAAAATAAAGCTTTAACATATGTTCTTTTGTAATATTACCATCATAAAGCAGAGCAATAACATAGGAGTTTTGCCTGTATAACACTTCTCCTTTAATCCTTCTAAGCCACATACTTATTTTTATTAAGTAACTACAACAGTGGTCTCCAAACCATTGCATCACACACCCTATTAATAAAACACTTTGTAGCAAGCATTCAAAAAAGATATATGTTTATTTATAAAATATGTACCTGTATTACATCACTAATATATTTATTACATTGTAAAATACACTCAAAAATAGAATTTAAAACACAATTTGCTAAAAATGCAAAAAAAACCTACTATTTTCTTCCTGTGCCCCAGTGAATTGGCTTGTATACCCCTGGGAAATATTGTACTACAGAAAACGTAGGATCAATGTTTTGAATCCCAGGTCCCTAAAGATAATGAACGAGATATTCAGAAATGTATTGTTAACCAAATTCCATTATAATTAAGCCAGTGCTACTCTTCAGGGGTGTTTGATGACTTGAGATTTTACCGATTACAAATCCACAATGCTGACCCTGACCTTTTCTTTTCCTCTAGGGTTCCTCTCTGGATTCAATCACATAAGTTTTCGGGTTTCTTCTCCAGATCAAAATCTCCTCATGATCCCTATAACAAGGACAAGGATAGGAAATATAGCCACGGTGGAATTGGGTCTTTCTGAGACAAATGTAGGAGTTTCTCCATGGATGAGCCAGGTACCAGAAAGGCAGTTAAATTCAGTGGCACAATCAAGGACCCAAAGAGAGGCAGGAACCCAGACAGAGCCAGAGACTCAGACAGGGCCAGAGACCCAAAAAGCACTAGCAGCTCAGCCAGAACCAGAAACCCAGGCCGAGTCGAGGACCCAGACAGAGCCAGAGATAGGAAATGAATCAGTAATAAGGGATGGGTTAATAACTCAGGCAAGGTTAGCTACTGAGATAGAACCAGTTGACACAGTGAAGCCAAGGCCTGAGGCAGAGATAACAACAGGGAATGAGACGAGTGATATGTTGAGCAATAGACTTGAGGGTAAGGAAAAGAAAATGACTGAAGACAGGGATGATGAGAACAGAGATTTAGCTGAGAAAAATGATGATGACAAGACAAAAAATTAATATTAGATATAAGGTAATAGAGGACAGAGATATTAAAAATAAAAAAGCCTAGCAGAGAGGTTTCCCTTCAGGGTTGAAGATGTTTTGTTGGGTCTGTATGAAGAGTAGTAGGAGTATCAGAGGTAATTCTGAAATGACAGTGTAACGACCCTGCTGAACCCTCCTTAGATTATGCCTTGTTCACTGAACAAGTTGATATTATGAATGAAAGAAAGTCATTTGTGTAGTTTAGGTGAAAGGTACCAACAACTTAAGAATCCCAATGAAAGTGATGAAAAGCTTATTAAAGGAAGTTTCCATGTTACTGTTGTGTGCTCTGACTGGGAAAGGCTGGCAATAGATGGAGCGCCCACGCCACCCAGCTTTTCCAGATTTCCATGACCACACAATGGAACATCTCAGCAGAATGGAAAGAGCATTCAGTTTAGAAATTCAAACTCTCATTTTCGGTCCTCACTCTCCTTATTAGTCAGGCTGACTTTTGCCAAACATTTCACTTGTTGGGCCTAAGATCCTTCATTGGCCAGCCAGACTCTGAGATTTCCTCTAGTGCTAACTGTTTATGGCCATAAATGATAAACAGTAGAGACATTATTCCTGTGGGCCAATATGACCCCAGGTTATTTTTGTGGGTAACTTAGTCTAGTCAGAGTAATTAAATTCAGTTCTGTACATCCAAGGCTATTTTTGGCAAGTCATGTCTTATTTTTTATTTAGATATCTCATTTAAAAATGTAAGTGATTCCCACTGTTTTCAGCTATTTGCAGGAACTGGATAGGAAAGAGAAAGATAAAGGCAAAATGACTCAGACTCTCTGAGAGGGAGTGTACCATCTAGACTCTGGGAATTTCAGGGAGGCCTTAAATGGTTTCACAAAAGGGATTGTGGCCTTTGAAACTAGAAGCCAGTTGGCAGTATCAGTAGTTCACCATGAAAACCCACTTTTAACTCCTTAAACAGTCACTATTTTACTATTGCTGCCTGCCTGTACCTCTTACTAGTTAGTCAAATTCTCTGGCCCTTAATTTTATCATCTTTAAAAGTGGCCTCGACAAATGATATCCTCCCCATTCCATGTACTTTACTTTCAGGAACATTAGATAAGGAACCAGGAGACAGTAGAGGATGGACAGGGCGGGAAGCATTAAAAGATATTCCTCCTGGTAAATATAAATTAACAGATGTCTGTTTTAAAGCACAAGTTCTGTAAGAGGATAGTTAAAATTTTAGTTATATCTTAATTTAGAGTACTTAAATCGATCAGATAATTACATAGCCAAATACTAATAAGCAGATGCTTTGATGGTTGAGACAGAAGAAAGAAGAAGAAAATTTGCAAAGGGAAGGTCTGGATGGGGAGAGAATCTTGAGAGCTTTCAGGCAGGATGAGGGGCTGATTACCTGGAGGGCAGGGATGCTGAAAGTAGAAAGAAATGTGGGAGATTGATAAGGACAAACTTCACCTCTCTTACAATTTTGCTTAAAACCATGGAGGCATCAGATATTTGACTAGTTTGGAAACCTGTAACCTCCATTTTCTTTTAATCATACCCATCTTCCCATGCAGCATCCATCCATCAAAAATATTAAACATCAACAAGCAGTTCATTGTGTAGGGGGAGATAAAGGCAGTAAGAATAAAAGGTAAAATGTGGCTTTGAGGAGTTCTAATAGCACACAAGAGGCACAGCACACCCAATTCAGTCTAGGGGCTTACCAAAGGTGCTCAGAGTTGGTGAAACATGAATGAGCTCATTCTTGAAAAAGGAAAAATGACCAAATAGACTTCATCTAGGAGAAAAATCACTCAACAAGTCTTTAATGTGAAGCTGACTTTCCTAAAGGTTTTGGGAAACAGAGAGAATAATGCTATAGCAACACAGCAACTTAACATTGTATTTAAATAAATCTGTTCTTAAAAAGTAAAAAGCAAAATGAAAACAAAATATCTTCAGCCATTTTTGTTCCTTGGACTCTAGCCTTTTGTCATAAATGCTTGGCTTTCCTATATCCCTTCTTTCCTTTGTCTTCTTTTACTTTTTGCTGTCCCATTCTTTTTTGGAACAATATCCATTTTCCTCACATTTTCTTACACACAGAAATATTGCCTTTCTCCAATCTTTACACCCAATATCGTCTCTGGTCTCCCTATGGAGATCCAAGGGCTCAGCTAATTATTTGAAAACATTGTGTTTAAAACTCTAGTTTTTAGAAAAGGTCCACCCCCTGGTGTTTGAGGAGGGGTTTATTTAGTTTTCTCAGTTACATTTTCTCTTTGCAGTATTTTGCAAAGCAGTTCTACAAATTCCCTTTCCAAGAGTAGATGAAGACAAGACAAAACACAATATTTAATTGTGATGCTTTTCTTTCTCATCCTTCTGGGAAATTAGCTTTTCTACCTTTAGAGGGATATTTGCTCCACTGCGCTCCTCTTCAAGGTGTGCCTTTGGATTCTCTCCAGGCCTTCCTGGGGGACCAAGCCAGTTCAAAGGCCCTGCATTTGGAGGAAGGTCTAAGGAAGGAGCAGTACTGATGCCTCATTCCAGAGAGTCAGTTGTTCCATCCTCCTCTTCCACCCCACCATCCCAACTTACCATTAGAACTAATAAAAAACTTTAATTATATGGATAAATAAAAGAGCAACATAACATTCAAAAATCAACACCTAATTTTAAAATGAGCAATAAACCAATTAGAAACTGTAACAATAAAATATATTTATAATAGTAAAGAATAATAAAATACTCAGGAATAAACAAAAATAAAACCTGAAAAAGTGGGAAGAATCACTCTACCTAATATTAAGGCTTGCTATAGAGCTATGTAATACAGTGTGGTATTGGTGGATGGATAGATACATAGATGAATGAAACAGAATAGAGAACACAAAACTAGATGCACACAAATACACTCAACTGAAATGCAAAGACAATTTAATGGAGGAAGGATAGCCTTTTCAACAAGTGGCGCTAGAGTAATGGGACATCCCGTTGCCAAAAAAATGAACCTTGAGCTAAACCACACACTTTATACAACAATTATCTCAAAATGGATCACAGACTTAAATGCAAACTGTAAAACTATGCAGTGTTTAGGATAGAAACTAGGAGAAAATTTTCGGAACCTAGGGCTAGGTGAAGAGTTCTTAGAGTTGACACCAAAAGCAGCAATAAAGAAAAAATTGATAAATTGGATCTCATGAAAATTAAAAACTTTTGCTTTGTGAAAGTCTCCATTAAGAAGAGGAAGAAAAAAAAACAAGCTACAGATGACTGGGAGAAAATATTTGCAAACCACATATCTGACAAAGGACTGGTATCTAGAATACAGAACTCTCAAAATTCAACAATTAAAAAAATACACAAATGGAACAATCCAATTAGAAAATGTGCAAAACACATGAATAGGCATTTCACCAAAGAGGATATACAGATGGCAAATAAGCACACGAAAAGACTCTCGACATCATTAGACATGAGGAAAATGACGTTTAAAACCACAGTGAGATATCCCTACATACCTATTAGAACAGCTAAAATGAAAAATAGTGATTCTCCCAAATGCTGTTGAGGATGCAGAGAAACCAGACCATATATTGCTGGCGAGAAGGTAAAATGGTATAACTACCCTGGAAAATAGTTTGGCATTTCTTATACAACTAAACATGCAATTACCATAAGACCCAGCAATTGCACTCTAGGGCATTTATCCTAGAGAAAAGAAAACATATTCACACAAAAAACATGTACATGAATGGTTTTAGCAGCTTTATTCATAATAGCCCCAAATTGGAAACAATCTAAATGTCTTTCAATGGGTGAATGATTAAACTGTGGTATATAAATACCATGGAATATTACTCAGCAATAAAAGGGAACAAACTATTGATACACACAACAGTTTGGATGGATCTCAAGGGAATTATGAAAAAAAACAAGCCCAAAGGTAAAACACTAAATAATTCCATTTATATAACATTCTTTTTTTTGTGTGTGTGAGGAAGATCAGCCCTGAGCTAACATCCATTCTAATCCTCTTTTTGCTGAGGAAGACCAGCTCTGAGCTAACATCTATTGCCAATCCTCCTCCTTTTTTTTCCCCCAAAGCCCCAGTACATAGTTGTATGTCATAGTTGCACATCCTTCTAGTTGCTGTATGTGGGACGCGGCCTCAGCACGGCCAGAGAAGCAGTGCAACCGTGCTTACCCGGGATCCGAGCCCAGGCCGCCAGTAGCAGAGCGCGCGCACTTAACTGCTAAGCCACAGGGCCGGCCCTATAACATTCTTGAAATACCAAAATTTTAGAGATGGAGAAAAAATGAGTGGTTGCCAAGGGTTAAGGAAGGGGGAAGGAGCAGGATGAAAAGGAGTTGTGGTTATTAAAGGACAACAGAAGGGATCCTTGTGTTGATGGAACTGTTCTGTATCTTGACTGTGGTAGTGGATAGATGAAGCTAAATGTGATAAAATTGAATAGAGCTAAATACAATAAAGCTTCTGAAAGAAAACATAAGAGAATATCTCAGTGACATCAAGGTAGGCAAAAATTTCTTCAACAGGACACCCCCGCACACAAAAATAACACTAACCATAAAAGAAAACTGGATACATTGAATTTCATTAAAATTAAGAACTTCTGTTCATCAAAAGATACCATTAAGAAGGTGAAAAGCCAAACCACACTGGGAGAAGATATCTGACAAAAGACTTGAACTATCATGAAGGAGATTGGTTTGTAGTTTTCTTTTTTCTGTATGTGTTATTCTCTAATCGAGCAATCTTACTCCTAGGTTTATTCCCAACAGAAATGCATGTGTGCGTTCACCAAAATTCACATACAGGAATGTTCATAGCAGTTTTATTCATCATAGCCACACACACAAAACAACCCAAATGCTCACCAAAAGAAGACTAGATCAATATATTGTGGTATATTCATACAGATAAAACACTACAAAGCAAGTAAAACGTAAGAACCACTGTGCAACCTCTATGGTAAACAGTATGGAGATTCCTCAAAAAATTAAAAATAGAAATACCTTATGATCCAGCTATCCCACTTCTGGGTATTTATCTAAAGATCCTGAAATCAACAATCCAAAGAAGCTTATGCACCCCTATGTTCATTGCAGCATTATTCATTGTAGCCAAGAAGTGGAAGCAACTCAAGTGTCCTTCGGCTGATGATTGGATAAAGAAGATGTGGTATATATACATATAATGGAATACCACTCAGCCATAAAAAAGACAAAATCGTCCCATTTGCAACAACACAGATGGACCTGGAGGGTATTATGTTATGT